CAAGCGCCTAAACCGTTCAGACGATTTTCTAAAAAATTAACATTCTTTGATTAATCTAGTGGAACTCGAGGCTCTGCGAATTTGAAAAGAATATTTTGATTCATGGGGTTCTTTAAAAAATATATATTAATCTTAATAAAATTTTCGAAATTTGCTCAGAAATGGCTTCAAAATTTTGCTGTAATTTCTTTCTCTTGTAAAACAATTCACTCCTAAAAATAGTTTAGTTGAACTCTGAATTTTTGAAAATTTCAAAAGTTTAAGATTTTTTGGCGTCTTTCTACAAATAGCAATATAGAAGATCTATATTTTTCCTTCATGAAATCTGTTTTAAAAGATTTGTTGATTTGTTTGAAAATCTGTTTTAAAAGATGACTTTTTATAACAGGTCATGTAAGCTTTTTCGAAAATAAAAATAGTTTTGGTGTTATTTTATGAGAAATATAGGCAATTTTAAAAACAAGATTTTTTGATAAAGGGTTTAAAATATTTCTCTACTTTTTTTCTCGTCAGAACATATTCTGTCGAGTACCTGTGCTTAGGGAGTTGTTTATCAAACAGTGGCATACGCCACATATGTAACACCGTTAATTTACCACTAACTTCCATTTTATCAATGATTATCTTTCGTGTTATACTGGATACTAGAGTCCGTCGTTGGTTTTTTCAGGTACAATTTTGGCATTGACATTGGTAGGCCGCTGTTAAACATACACGGAATATCGGACGAGTATTACCACATATGCCGAGCACGTATGGGATTTAATTGCTTCATGGACCGCCGTTCTGTTTTAGGAAGCTCCTCAATGTTTGAAGAAATCACGAAATGACGATGGAATGGTCTCGTGGTTGCGGGATGAAGAGGTATTTTTGTTGTGTTTTTACAATGTTAATACATAAATAACAACTCACACTCTTTCGAATAAGGTCATTTCAACAATTTATATTACAAATATTACATACATGATTGATGGTTGGTTGTTCATCCTTGAAAGATTGAAAGTAGAATATTCATTAACTTAATCGCAATCGTTCTCACTAGCGGATTACTGTGTATTCTTCCCGTGTGCTGTCTGTAAGCACCCGCCGCTAAGGTTCGGTCTACTTTGACTACGCACGAACGGGCGTGGGAGTTATCACGCATGCACCAAACCTTATGACTGCCAAAACGAGAAAGTTTAGTTGTCAAAACTGAACATAGATTTAAAAAAAACAACGATACGGCCAATTCCAGTGAGTAGACCGTCCCCTGACAAAAAGCACAATTAAGGATGTGTATAAAATTATTCAGGGACATCGATTCATGGCATCAACTGATGTGACTGCAGTGCCTCTAACCGGGAGGTCCTAGGGTTCCAGCCCCGACGGTGGTAGGATTTTCAACACTAGTTAGATATATAGACGAATGCAGCCGCTGACAGGAGCAGAATTATAATTATCTGATCGGTAGTTTTCCGTGATTTCCCCCATCAATACCACGCAAATGCCGGAGCAGTACCCAAAAAAACGGGTCACGAACCTCGCGCGATAATTCCTTCGTTCTCCTTTGTCGTATCCCCACTCTTTATTTACGCACCCTTACACTTACATGCGTTACACAGCCACACACGTCGGGAGACTAGTTGGGAGCTTAGAGCTTGCCCCGGCCGGGGCGATGCCCCGCTGGAGGGAGATACCTGGAGAAGGGATTCGGAAATGCTTTCGTGTCTCAGTGGCGAAGTAGCCTTCCTTTTCCCACTGATGTTCCGGGTTCGATTCCCTTAGAATGTAGAACCACATGTGAAATTTGTTATGACAAAAAAAAGTTTGCATGCTTTGCAGAGCCTACTCCAACCCCTGTGAAGCGTCCTAAACCTCACTCCTATCGTTATTCCTTACCTATTCTGGCCGATGGGTAGATGACGCAGGGCGCATGTGAGACGCTACTTATCGGCGATTCCCTGACTGGACTGCGACTGACGTGACTTGACTATCCAGCGGTCCCTAGAGGGTGCTGGGTGATTAATAACGGAGGATTACTCCGAATAAAATTAACGGAGGATTACTCCATAGTGCGCTCAACACTCCTTAAGGAGGTAGGAGATGCGATGCGTTTATAAAGACGCAACATTTTTTTTTAAAAAAAGGGACTACCCCGCAAGCGGGCATGTAGGTCGATGCCCTATCAGCCACCCAGCGGGGGAAGAACACTCTGCTCTCCAGTGATAAAAGCATGCACTTTTAATGGTGCTAATGACCATAGCAGTCGCCGCGCATTTAAATATTTAAATCTGCCAAGATAGAGACTCGAACCCTTGGACCTTTCTTCCTTCTATGAATCATTTATTTACTAGTAAAATATGTAAATGGAAAGGAGCAGCATTTACTTGGTGCCTCCTGATATTTGAACCAGTTAACGTTCAATTTATTTTGTATTCAAACGCTTATTTGCATAGCTCTTCGTCAATTGTCATTAGAAATACTACACTTCTAACTCGCACATTTACCATTGTCGATTCACAGCAATGTATTTTAATGTTGGAAGTTGAGATCATAGTATATGGGCAGAGTAATTGAAACCTTAAATTATTAAGTTTGTCAAAATTTCAGTTTACTTTATTCCATCGTCAAGGCTGGTGAAAAAATAAAAACCCCAATATTAACATACAACTTATTCTGTATGTTTATAGTGTTGTTTTTATTTTTATCGCCAGTCCTGATGATGGAACAATATATTCCGAAATGTCGGTAAACTTAATGATTTAATGTTTTAATTACACTGACTAAATCCCATGATCTGGAAGTCCAAGTCTTCCATGTATGCGCATTACCCTACCACACGCACATGGCGGGCGTCAAGAACGTAGAGCCTGACCCGGATGGGGCGGAGCAACGCTCGGGGGAGATACCTGTTTGGGGAAACCTCGCAAGCTGGCCTGTAGGTCGGTTATGGATCTCACCACGTAGAAGGAAATACCATCGTCACCTTTTGAGGAAGAACTACTGTTACGGGACTAATGACCATAGCAGTGTACGTGCCCCGAAACACGAAATAATCAATAAATCTATCAGAAACGCTCTTTCATGAGGGCGATTTATTCAAATTCATTGATCAAAGTGCAGGATTGTTCGGAATAAATGTTATTAACTTCTAGAACTTGTAGGGAAGTCGATGTTGATCACTCTTTCCAGTGAAAATGATAGTAAACATCTTATAAAGTTACACAAGTGATGTAACTAGCATTGAAGCGTCATTCTCCTACATTCTATCGTATCGTTCCTGTACATTTCCTGTCAGAAAGGGGTTTTAAGGAATGATGTACAGGGGCGATTAATTATTTTTGCTATGTCAGCTAGAGTAGCAAAACTAAAATATTTATTTTCTTGTGAAAACCATAGGTCAATATTCTTTTAGGAACTCCAGAAAATGAAAGAATAACCAAGATCATTGCAATCGTTAGTATAAATGTCGATTATTTTGCTCTTCATTGACCGACACTGCGTAAATGGCAACGCATTTACCAGCCAACGTTTTTCTAAAATACTTCAGAAGCGGTCACATAAACGAGTACGTAAACGCTGTTGCTGTTTTAGACATTTGATTTGTAAAATTATATTGATTTGTAATAAATTTATCAATATGATTGTTGTTTGTAATAAATACATTTTTTTGGTACGTTATAGCTTGTTATTGTTGTCAATACGGAGCTCAATATACACTTCATAACATACCTTGTTCGAAAGGATCATGGGCACGAGGGAAATATGAAAACAGTTGAATGATACCACATGTTCTATTGCGAAAGTAATTACAAGAGGGAATTATGGAAGGGAAATATAAAAGGACAAACCGAGTCAAGTTAGCATCTAGTTAATTAGTAAATAAGTAAATCTGAATCAATAAAATTAGGTAAAAAATTAAATTATGTACCATGGCCTTCAACTGGTTCTAATGATCTCGGGCGACTAAAGGCCTTCGGGCCAAAGGCCCTCGGACATTTTGTTGCAGCTCGATCATTAGAACCCTTATAACGGCCTTGGTGCGTAAATAACTTATATTTATTAAAACCCTAATACTCGATAATTAGAACCGTTATAATGGCCTTGATGCGTAAATAACTTATATTTATTGAAACCCTAATACTCGATAATTAGAATCCTTATAACGGCCTTGGTGCGTAAATAACTTATATTTATTAAAACCCTAATACCATGCTCTGCATTTCAGGGAACCCTTATATCTTTGGAGAGGCGAGTTGATCAACGAGTGAGGCCAAATTCGCCAAGAGTGGTAAGTTCGTAGTTATGCTGGAACCGGCTGCGTTAGCTCAACTGCAAAGTCGTTTCCTTTGCAGCATCGTTGACCGGGAGGAGTTTGCGTGCCGACGGTTGACTTTTTCGACACTAGCTACTTAGTTAAGTCGCATTCCACCATTGTCTGGAGAAGAATTCTACTGGCTGAATACTAGGTATTTCTCCGCGTTTTTTTCGGCCAAAAGTAGGCGCAAGCCGAAGCTTAACAAACGGGCTACTTATCAAAATCAGTTGTTTCCAGGCTTGAAGGCCGTGGTCCAATGGAGACTTGTCCATACGTTTCGCCTGCAGCTGTGGCAGGCATCCGTCAGCTGCAGTTGCTGGCAGGGGAGAGACAAGTGTCCTTGGTTGTGCGCAGCCGGTTGACTGCGCTGCCCGCGGCTCTGGGGCCTGTATTCATAGTGAAAGAGGCAGGTTACTCGGCGGCCTCCGCGTCTGATTGGGGGTCGCGCCAGTCGCCTGTTCTCGCGTCTATGGGCCGTTCGTACACGGTACCTGGTTAGCTGCCGGGTATTCTGGTCGCTGTACGACGTGCCGGGTACCATGTATTGTTAATTTCAACGTCCAGCGACGTACTGGTTAGTTGCCGGAGCTGTTTAGGCGTACGAAGTGTCGGCAGTACCAAGTTGTATTGTTTTAATTTCAACTCCGCTGGCGCTGCCAACAAGGATCATCTTCGCCCCCGCCCATGCAACTGCACACTGAGGATGCCTGCCGACAGCTGCAGGCGAAAAACGTATGGACACAGTCTCCCATTGGACCACGGCCTTCAAGCCCGGAAACAACTGATTTTGATATGGAAACCGGCCGTGAAAGCCTACAGTGTATGTTAAACGGGCTACTTGTTCCCCGTGATCTTTCCGTCTCCTGCCTCGTCTCTTCCTCTCTCCTCTCCGAATATTTGTGCATTACAAGTTCTAGTCTCATTTTTCAAACCAATCATGTTGAAAACATACTCGCTTTGGTGCTAAATCTACATCACATGCTCATTAGCATCGATTTCCATTTTGCTTTTAGCATTCATTTGTTTATTGAATGAATTGAGCCGTTCGGGAAGGAAACATTGTTATTTTTGATATTTTCATGTCTACATTTTATAGATATTTTTCATTTGTATTTCAAAGCATGTTTCATGTTTGACTTACGAAAATACAATACCAATTTTACACAAGACTACGAGTATCAGCACTATCTTATGAGCGAGTTATTATTGTCCTGTTCCCTCTAATTCAATGTAAAGAGAGATTTCCTCTCCTCATAAAAGCGAATGTCGACTTCATTCATGCCATCTTGATTTTGCCCAGTATCGGATACTATTATTTACGACTGAGTATATCAATGCATTTGGAATATTTTAAAGATGTTTCTCCATTTATCTATTTTTTATTTTGTTCTTAATTGTAGGTTACTCTCCGAGGTCCTTTACGGCGAAAAAAGAAAAATCTCTCCACAGAAGTAAGTGCTAGGGAAATGGATAATGAAAAGGAAAAGATGTAACAAACAAAATGCTACTCACCGGGAGTCTGCAAACAAATGCTGCAACCACACACCGGGAGTCTAGTGTCTATCATTTCGAATTCACACAGCGTGAACATTTCTGCAAATTGCTGAATATTCGCGTACTTTTGCATTGAAACTCGCCATCTCTCTATTTACATTTCTGGTTGTCCTCAATTAGTAGCCGAGAAAATAAGCTAATTGGTTAGTGGTGTGCCCAGAGTGTGATTTCTGTAGAGGGTAGTTTCTGGCCGTTCAAAGTGAATATTTTTAGTTTACGTGTTAAAATAAAGCGTTTATGGAACTAAACGCTTTATTTTATATAATATAATATATAATAATAATAATTATTCATTGTAATAATATTTTATAAAAGAATTGGCTTCTTATTTGAATGTGCCATTATTGAAGAAAAAGTTTACAAACGTACGAAGATTACAAAGAAATCCGAGTGTTGTTATTCAGGAGGTTCTATGTCTAGATCCTCCTCAACAAAGTACAAGAAACAGATGTTACAGTGACGAAAAATACCAGACAAAAAGACGAAGAACGGTTGGCGAAGAAGAGTCGAAAGGAAAAGAAATTTGTGGTGAACAAGTGGTGCATATTGAATGTGCTGAGTTAATTGCACACCAAAAATAAATGTTTTATGTAGTATTATTATTGTAATTTTTATCTGATGACATAATCTCAATTTACTTTCTTTTAATTTCGTTTGCATTGCTGTGTGACTTGTTATCTTATGTTTGTAATAATTCTGGTAAGCACTGAAGAAAGAGTATAGGTTATATCCAAATATGTGATCATTTTAATTTTTTTAATTAATATGGTAAAGGAAATAATCTCCACAAAAGTTTTAATAATTTTTATTAATCATTTTCCAGAGTGAACTTTCGGGAAATCACTTTTCCCATCCTCAGTGGATCTCTAGCAAGGAGGAGAAATGAAAACATTATTACTAGTTGAACACAAAAAAGGGGATGTACAGAGTATTTAGTGGAAAAACAAACAAATAATATCATATAAATACAAATTGAAAATACTTACTGCCCAAACAACGTGGATCTCCCATGAATGTTCTCAACATGGTCAAAAAATGTGAAAACAGCAAAACATGCTGGTTACACCTAGGTGGCAGCCATCTTTTGGAATGGGAGAAGAGGAACCCTACCAATTGGGGGAAAGGGGGGGATAGAAGAGAAGAAAGGGTAGTCATAAAAAATACTTGAAACTTTTACTGCTTTACATACAGGAATTTAAAATAGAACAGAAAATTAGGAATGTGCAAGATTATAGAATTTTAATTAAATAAAGACATTTTTTTAACAAGTTGACTAGATATTACAAAAAAGGGGGAAAGGGGGTCAAAAGAATGATTAGCGGCTAGTTAATAAAATATTTAGAATGGGACTGCTTTTAATCAAGGAATGTTCATTCAAGACAAAAAATAGTATTTCTGAAAAGTTTTAGAATTTCCAAGTTCTCCAAAATGTTCATTTTTGTGCCTTTGTTAACTAGGTGAAGAATTGTAAAATTATAATTGGGACCAAAGGAATGGTTAAATTGAATCAAATGATTTGCAAAGGTGGAAGTGTATAAATTTTGTTTCTAACATCTAATATGCTCATTAATTCTAACTGAAAATTGTCTGCCTGTTTGGCCTACATATGCTAAATTACAGTTATTACAAGTTAGGTGATAAATTCCACTTCTTTCAATAGGTGGATAGGTGATTTGGAACTAGGGAATACGTAATAATAATAGGGCATTGTACGTGAAAAGATTGGAGGAAGTTTAGGGTTTTGTAGGGTTTTTTAAAATTACATTGTTGTGCTTTTTTCTCATGCATTTTTTAATGAAAACTAACTAGAATAATACGTTTCTGAGTTATAAACAGTTTTCTAGTCTTTTGCAAGATATTAAGAATCTTCGGGTCCATGAAACTATAGTGTGTTGTTTCTGTAACAAAAAATAAGTGTGTAATTGCTCAGTTAAAATGAGAATTTCTAATCCAATGTGTTTTGGGGACCATAGGGATAGCAAATACGTTGCTACTAAACAGAACTTGGATTATCACGTCACAGCTTCAACATTTAATTTTAATCTGTCATATTAAACTCTGACCATTCGGTGTGTTGCCTGGTAAGCTAACTTAAATCAGTCTTGGAGGGTTCGGAAGGAGGTAACGGAGAAGTTTTTTTCATAAGTTACAAAGCTTCTCCTCAAGGACTTCGACATGGTGGTCTTAACCAGGTGAATACATTGAGGTTTTTACCAATACCTACGCATTGGTTGGACTCTTAATTTTCGCTTAAAGAAAATACACCTTTCAAGATGTTCGTTTTTATAAGAATTTGAGACATTTTTGAGACAGATTACGTGAAACTGTAGAATTTTGTTTATTACTTTTCATTTTTATGAAATGTTCAACTTAAGTTCGTAATTTAAAAGCATTCAATATGTTACAGTTATTGAAGTATTAAAATATTTCTCTCTTTGAATATTGGTATTCGCTTCATTGACTAATCAAACAGAAATTCAGTGTTGTGTGCCTCGTAATCTGTTAGGACATAGAAAAATAAGGAACTTACATCGAACTACAGTTCTATTATATAGCATCCTTATCATTTCTCCACAGTCAATTCGCATTTCTATGTTATCTATTAAAAATACAATTTTTAATAACTTACGAAATTGTAACAACTGTTAACAATTATGTCTATATAGTGTGACTCAAACTAAATGTTTTCAACTTCTAGGACATTTAGAAGGTCGAAGATGATAACATTTTCCAAGAACTATAATATGGCGTGTAATATTATATAGGGAAATTACACATATACCATTTGAACCAACTGATAAGTAGGGAGAGGATTTTTATGCCCTAAAAATCTTGAAATATGCTTTTAAAAATATTCATTTATTATCTAAAAGTTCTAAAATATGCACTAAAAATTAACAATATTTCATTTCCTGCATAAATCATTCTTGATAAAATTCAGGAGAAGCTTGTTTGGAGTGAAAATATATATTTTTCTGCAAACATAATATAATTTACTTTACTTCACGGGAGAAGTAATTAGTGTAGACATTCACCCTACATTGTATGTCTTGTTGCATTTCATTGTTTAAAAAAATATGATATCACGAAATTTCCTACATTTGATCCTTAAAGCCATGGCCGCGAGGCCGGGACGCTGCTGGTAGGCCCTGGCCCGTTCGCGGGCTGTCGCGCCAAGTACAGACAGATTAGTAAGTACAGGGCTCAGAAAAGAACGACTCAGGTGCATCCTGCTAACCCACTCACTCACGTGGACACTTGGGCACCCGAGCCCAAGTGCACATGTGGAGTTACGCAGGAAGTTCTCTCAAAGATGAGAACAGCTCTCTAAGAGCGAATCGTACACCATACGACTGACAGCAACATTAATCACTAGCCAGGTAGTGGGTATTTAAGCAAAGGTGCCCGACGACAACGCAGATGCATTCAGGTGTAAGCTGCATCTGCCAGATTTCCAGTAATAATTGGCGGTGATGATGTTACGGTTAGCGTACCGGACTGTTGTACTCAATTGGCGGGTTCAAACCTGATCGAAGTCGTGGAGTTTAAAGGGCGAAAAGATCTTTCGTACGCCTTCCTTCGGAAGAGAAGTAAAGCCGGCTGTACCATGTTAGTTGATTTACTTGCATGTAAAAGATCCTCAAGCCTAAATGACGCCTCTGAGCTAAATTCAAAATCACCTGTTTCTCGTCCAAGAAATAGCTCCTTCCTCTGCCAGTCGGTGAAAGGATCGTAGCGAAATTTGCGTGGTCAGACGGAAGAGCGGGCCTGATGGGCCGAGTCTCGCCACGTAAAATAAGGCATCAATTCAATAACACCATTTTGAAAAAACGATTGTCGCCGTGAGTTGGGGTTTGATTGTCTCTCTACATCGACCTAGTTGAAGCAACGCAGTGCGTGCTTGGATCGCACTCCCACAGAGAAAACGACCTACAGACCTCGTGTGCGTGTCCCCAGGAGCAGCAGCAGCGTGTCTCAAAAACCGCAGTAGCCGACAAGCGCGTCGCCGGGAGGCTGGGACACGCCAACTCAGCTGCCTGCAGTGGCGGCGCCTCCACGGTAGGCAGTCGACCCAATGATTGATCGATTAGTGACTTCGGGCGCATCAACATCTAAGGTCATTAGTACAGTAATCGTAGTGCATCTTTTCATCGGGAGGTGGAATCCCATCTGGATGGCGAGATCCCACCTGTAGTGCATATGAGTGTATGTGTAAATAAGGGGTGAAGATATAGACAATGTTGAGGAAGGAAAGATCGCGCGTTGTCCGTGGCCCGCTTGTACTGCCCGAGTATTCGCCTGGTATTGATCGGAGAAACCACGGAAAACTACGGATCAGAGCAGTCGGACGCTAGAATTGTTCTTCACACACGACTGAATTCTACCTAGCTGATAAGCTAGTGTCGAAAACCCTGCCAACGTTGGGAATCGAACCTAGGACGTCCTGGTCAGAGGTACTGCAGTGACATCAGCTGATGGCCTGAGCTTTCTCTTCCGATTCGACATCAAAACATCCAAGTTTCTGAATATCGATGTTCAAAGTCAAAGCATCGATGCTAATTATCAATCGTCTCCAAATAATCGAAGTTATCAAACTGGTTAAAAATTACATCACCAAACTTGATTGATTAGTGTTTCCGGGCGCGTCAACTGTTACTGTTATTAGTTCCGTAAGTGTAGTGTGTGCGGAATGTGGCGGTGATCTTCTGTGTCAGTGCAGTGCATGTGTGTAGGTAATGGATGAGGGTAGGACAAGTTATCGTGTGCGGCCCATTTGTACTTACTGCTTCGCCCTTCCCCTGGTGCTGATCGAAGAAAATACGGAAAACTACCGATCAGAGCACCCGGCCGCTACGTGTCTCCTCCAAACAGCGGCTGAACTCGACCGGAGCTCTTGATCTAGTGTCGAAAATGCTCCCTCCGTCGGGATTCGAACCCTAGGATCGTCTGATCAGAGGCACTGCAGTAACTTTAATCTATTGAGTACCATTATCCCCAGATGTGGAATTTGCAGTTTTTGTAACTCACTTTGGCTCCTTTCACGAAAATATAATTTTAATTATTCAATAGATGGAGACATTTTAAATGAAATGTATAAGCAAGGTTCGGTATTCGTGAATAATACATGACGATTTACTCGAGATCAATAGAGCATTGTACGTTCCGAACCAAAGTGTATTCATGGTCCCAACGAGGCAGGATTATCGGCATTAACAGATATAGAGATCGACTTCAGTGGTCGACTTCAGAGGTTGACTGCTGTCTGAAGGAGCATTTTAGTGACCGGCTGCTCTGATAGTTACTTATAGGGTTTCTCTCATAGGCTTAGAGCTACTCTCGGCATGGGGTGTCCCACTGGAGGGTGATGTCTAGATGGGGAAACATCACACAAACCTACGTGTAGGTCGGTGCTGGATCTCACCATTCACGGGGGAACATCACCGCGATCTCCCGTGCTTAAAATATGAACTACATTCACGGACTAATGAGCTTTGGAAGCAAACATCAAACAATCGTACCCCACGAAAGCAGCAGCAGTTTACTCGCATTTGAAACATTAATCAGTTAATGAATCAATCACAGCGCATGGATCAATCACAGCGCATGGGCATTTAATGAATCAATCACATGCAAAACTTTATGCGCCCTTCAAACTTATATAAATCATTGAATCAATCGTGGGCCACGGAAGCAGCAGCAATTGACACGCCCTTGAAAATAATAAATTCATGAATCTTCCCCAGCGAAAGCAGCAGCAGTTGACGAGCTTGCAAATCTAATCAATCAATGAGTCAACCGTAGTCCACGAAAACAACAGCAGTTGACGCGCCCAAATGCACTAATTCAATGAATGACTCGTAGCGCACGGAAGAGCCGAATTTGACACGCCTTTGAAACACTAATCAATCAATGAATCGATCGTAGCGCACGGAAGCAGCCGCATTTGACACGCCTTTGAAACCCTAATCAATCAATGAATCAATCGTAACCCACGGAAGCAGCAACAGTTGACGCGCCCAAATGCACTAATTGAATGAATCAATCGTAGCGCACGGAAACAACCGCATTTGACACGCCTTTGAAACCGTAATCAATCAATTAATCAATCGTAGCGCACGGAAGCAGCAGCCGCCGTGATCCCGGCGCGGTTCCGCCGCGTGCCGCGCTTCGTGGGCGTGGCGCGTCGCGTCAACTGGCCCGTCTTCTCGCTCATCGTCACCTCCTTCTTCGACCGGCAGCGCTGGCCGGCCTTCTCCGCGCTGCCCCGCGCCTTCCAGAACTTCTGCGGCGGCGCGCGCGTCGGCCCCGAGGACGCCGACGACGACTTGCCCGGCTTCGCGCCCGAGTGGCTGTTCCACCTGCGCGAGATGGACGACCGCCTCTTTTGGGCCACCGTCGAACGCTTTTTCGCCGAGAAGCGCTTTCCGGCGTGGCAGCAACTGCCTGCGGAGTACACTGCGTGGTTGAAGACGTTGAATGTGCGGGAGTTTGATTATCCTGCGAGTGAGTCTGTGCCCGATGGCGCGACAAAGCCTTCCGATGCTTATATGGATCGGCGGTTGATGTTGACGAAGAAGGAAGGTCCGAAAAATCGGAAGAGTTTTCCGTTGACAGAAGATCTCATAAGGGGTGTCATGCATTCGTTGAAGTTTGAGTGAGTTTGTAAGTCACTCTTTCGTCGGATAAAATTCTTGATGAGTTTGTTGAAATTTGTAACTTAAAAGTCGAGAACGGTAGAGTGATCTTCTTGATCGCCAAGAATTATATTCATTAAAACTTGTGTGGATAATTCGAATATCTTTGGAACTATTTCCAATTGATGCGCCAATTAGATACCTTGAAGCAAAACATTGTAAAAATAGAAAATAAATTATTGATGTCCTGTCATGTGTTCTTACCGTGTTAAATTTATTTAATCTTCACTCATATTTAAAGTTCCTTTTTAGGAACAGTTAATGGAAGTAAAATAAAAATTCATCAACTTTGGGTTATAATATGTGTTCAGCTCGGGTCCAGAAAAGATGCTAGTACCAATTTTAGCCGAGTAAGTGTCATTACTTTTTGTAATGAACAAGTTTTCGATTTTAATTCGATTTCTAGAGGCGTCAATATTATCTTGTTTTAAAGACATTAAGTATAATCGAAATATCAGTATATAATTTAATTTCGAAATATTAGTACATAATTTTGAAATATTTCTATACAATTTTGTAATATTATTACAATATATTTTGACTATTGGCAATTCCAGCCTGCACATTGTCCTGATGATAAGTTCTAAAAACGTGGTCTAATGAATGAACACATTCATCGATATATCGCCAACCTGCTTAACAATGTAGGTTGCTTCAGCGCGAGTTGTCTGAATATTTTTATTTAACAGACTTATCAACTTGTCAGTGACATATTCTACGGTTATAATGTCACATTGTGGACAGTTTCCATGTATTTGTATTACTTACGAGGTCGTTAATTTATATATGCTTCCTGCATTTTATTTCGTGTATCACCTCACATTTCAATTCATTCACTGATAGCATTTAGTGCCGATTGCTTTACATACATATTGAAGGACACAGTCGTCCTACCTTGCTGTGGTTATCTAATGCTTTCCAATTCACTTGAGTCGCAATATCTCTCTTCGCAAATTTGGATACTTTTTACTTTCCCGTATACATACGGTATACGGTACTTTCCCGTATACGGATTTTTTTGAACATTTTAGGAGTTTTCGCGAAATATTGCATGCAATATGATCAATTTTAAAAGGTTATAAAAACAATATTTTCTCAATAAAAGCTCTTAAAATTTTGGTAGGAATTGTGCTAAATGCACTCTACGAGATGACATAGACGCCATACTGCTCTATTCTTTGTTTTTTTTCATAATGTACAAAAATGTAATTTATTTAACTTGTCTTTCACGTCCTAAATATTTACATTAGCGGTTATTTGTTCACATTATTATGTTTATCACTACATGTGCTTTAAATAATGTCATAAAAAGTTGCTCGAAAACGCAACAATTTTCTGTGAAAACTAGCTCAATTTTCAGAAACGCTCAAATGTCATATTCTCAAAAACGGCTTCAAATGTTTTCTTCGAATTTTTCGAAAATATATTGATAATTGCACTCTTTAATATTAGGTAAAGATCGTTTCAGTATATTTTTTTGTTTTTTCAAAAATTACACAAATATAATATTTTTGAAAGATCTGTCATGCCGGTAATATGCACATTTCCAGCAATTTGTAAGTACTATTGTATTTGTGAGTGAAAGGGAATACTATATTATTCTAACGCATTCAAACACGCAAATGCTGAAGTGCGAGTGAAGCACACGGAGCTACGTCTTTCTAAGAATTGCATGTGTCGGCAAGGAAGGAGGGTCTATGTAACCTGTCGTCCTCCCAACTTATCTGTTGGTAATCTTGCCTCCGGATGCGAAATCGTTCAACACAGGATGTCACCAGACTGCGAATACTTACACCCACAACACAGCGAGATACTGAGTTCTTAAACGGATTGGGTCTACTAGATCCATGCGCACCTAACGAAGAGTTAACAGCATATTTATTAACCGAATAGAAGTAAAATCGTAATAATCTAGGTTGTAGAAGGATTTATAGGCAAACAGTTTTATAACATCATATCAACATGTGAAGCGGAGTAGAAGTAGCTGATGTCGCGTAACCAACAATTTCGACAGAGTTAGTGAGACTTTCGTTCAGATATCTAAAAATATTACCAAATTCCCAATTTTGACGAACTATTATAATTTCGGGCTGGATGCTAATTAGCCCTGATAAAGAATAAATAATTAAATATTTATAAAATATGATTACCTTCTTACAGTATTATGTTTTGCTTTAACATGTCTCCTTGGGGTCTCGTCTTCTTCAGTACTGCTTGCCGCACTAGTATCGTATTCAGAACCAGAATGCTTAAAAACAGCATCAATTTCACTTTCACTCAACATTGAAATTAAATGAGCTTCTCAAAATATCTTATAATACCTGGACACTTTGTGCGGGAATGGTGCAAACAGGGTAGCCAGTAAGGCAGTGTTCACATACATGTAAACAGATTGATTGGCGCGGTGAAGCAGATAGAACCTTTTTCACGAACCTGAACATACGTTTTGCAGATAGTACCTTGCCTGTATCTCAGAAACTAAGCTTCGTAATGTAACGTAGAGGTTATGTAAATCTCATCGCTACCAATACAAACATCAAATAAAAACATTTTTGAAAAAAAGGTAGATAGAAACTTTTTACTTTAAGGTCACGTTATGTTATAGAAAGTTATAAGACAGATTCTAGAAAAAACTGAGAGTACTCCAACGTTATGACATTGAAAATCAATTTTTAAAAAATATTAATTTTCTTCTATTTGAATTTGGAATCTCAACTTTTCTGACGAATTTGACAGAAATACTTGCCTTCAAATTTAACTGTTTTCCTCCGTAACAGAAGTTTTTTCATGCCGAAACGCAATAGAAGGTGAGCAAAAAATAAATTATAAAAACACATTTCTCATTGTATCTTTGCAACAGCTTGCGGTAGGAGGCTGATCTTTTGGGAATCTGCGGCATTTTTTATTCTCATTCATATGAGAATCGCGATTATTGATTTGGTTTCGAGGCATTTTTTATCAGTTTATTCAACTATATCCTTTACTTTCAGGGCATGAAAATAGCAGAGTGGGATTCACTTGAAAACAGACTATCAATGGCAAGGCTATGCGCTTTGTATAAAGCTTACAGCGGTCATCCAGCTTGTAAAGAAATTCTAAGTATTCCGTCTAAGTATTCCTAAATACATCAGTACACGGGACCACGGGCACAAAATAAATTTAAGACCGCAGAGAATGAATGTGGGAAATTTTCATTCACAAATCGAACGATAACGGAAAGAAATTGATTGCCTGCAAAAACCTTTGCATCCTTTCCTCGAATCCTTTATTTAGGAAATTAATTTAATGAATGCTTTAACTAAGAATGGTAGGTTATTGAGCGATGTGTAAGAGTTGTATTAGTAAGTGAGATGTCGTGCAGCGTAGAGAAGAGTTAATAACGAAGGAGGTGTTTTAAGTGTTGTAGTGAAGTGAAGAAATGGACAGTGCACTAAAGGCAAATGTAGCGCGGTCTTAATTGTGCAAACATATGTTAGTTTTAAAAATATAATGTTCCTTTTCTTTTGTTCATGTAACTTAATGTTTTGTGAATCGTCAATTTCTGTATTATTATTATGGCAAGCGATGATTGCCTCACTCGACTGAATACGCGGAGAAACGACGCTACGTCCAGCCTCGTTTGCAGTCGTCGCGCCTATGTCTGCAGTGCTGCGGGAGCCGATCTGGATTTCGGAAATAAAATGTAAACTCAATTTTTTCGCAGACAATTCTGTTTTCGAAAAATCTGGATCTACTATTCTTTATGAACCGAAACACTGAAACTGAGATATTTTTTGTAACGGAAGCTACCCCTAATATGTAGGAGCAACGTTTATCCTTTTATTCATTACAAACACCCTCCATTACCAATTTTTGTTTTTCGAAAATTCGCCACTGCAGCATTACAGTGCTTTCTCTTTACTAGGTATCTGCAGTGAGACTACAATGTTACAATCTAAGAGAGGTATTCGCGGTTCGACGGATGCACGAACGGATGTTTTGAAAAAAAAAATATATGTAGAAAATTCTCCAAAACTGAATATTTCTCTTTAGTTACGAATATCGATTTTCTCTAGTTCTACATAATGAATTACGTGCGTATGTATGATCACGAAAAAGTAATATACAAGCACATAAGGCAAGAACGAAGAACACATTGAACCATGGTTTGATATATTTTAAGTTTCTCGTCCTTACGAATGTAATTGCAATCATGCCCCGGAAAACTGCGAATTTTCGACAGAAAATCTCATATCGTCGAGTTCTGATACCGAAAAAGTGGAAAATAGCTTTCTTACATGTAGTAAATTTCTTCCTCTAACACGCGGCGAAGATAGAATCGTTTTTTAGTGAGTCCTTCACAATCGCTTGACGGCAAAACGTCTTAATTTAGGGGCTAAATGACAACTGGTTAAAAATTCTCAGGTCATCGCCAGCGCTTAAGCCGATTTTCTCCAAGATTGATATTACTCTATCGAGGTGGGAGTTTCAAAACTATATTTTAATTTTTAAAGGTACTTTGCATGAAGGTTTATAAACAGTTTCAGAATTTTCTTAAAAACCGCTCCAAATTCTTTCTTCACATTTTCTCCACATATGTATCAAGGGACGGTATAAAAGATAGGGTAGTGTAAATAAAAACCTAGATTTTACTTCAAGTTTGAAATAAATGGTAAAAGCATTTACTATCGAGCAAATGCATTACTTAATTTGGTGTGTACAACCTTTTACTTTTACTAGGAAGTAAATGATGGGGAAATAAGTAAATATTTGTTAGAGAACGCTGGGAAAATCGGTTCATCGTGGGGAGCGAATTCTTGAGGGTTAATTGCTCAGCTGATACAGTTTATTACTGTGATCACGAAAGTAATGATCTCCTCAGAAGAGATATCTGAGAAAGACTACTTAGTTTCTCAAAGAAATGAGTTTCGTGAAAATCATTGAAAAATATTTGAAGTGTTATATATATGACAGTGTTAAATCAA